CATCAATACCCAATGACAAGGGCCTAAGATATTAATTTCTTGCTTCCAAAGCAATCTGATCTTGTAACCAAGCTGGTCCTCCAAGGGCTAAATACGAGTCGAATCTTCCATCGCGAAGAACACTTTGCGATATGGCGCGAACAGTAGAGTTAGCTCGTATTGATTCTTCCTCAAAAAAGCATGACCCAAAGCTCTGACAAATACTAAATATTTGATCCAGCAATACTCAGATATCGTGGCCAATTCACTGGTTTATTCAGAGCTTCAATGACTGGTTTACAATCAATACCAATCACCACATCCCTTACTCTAAGATCCCGCAAACTCTGCACCGTCCAAATAATACATCTCAGTTCAGACACAATGCGGTTCGGAGAGCAGGTAAAAGCCTCTCGTGCATGAAACCGAACATTTCCGGTATGATCCCGCAAGATCCAAGCGCCACCACTATGCAAAGAAGCATTAAGCCAATTGGAATTCAGATTACACTTAAGACTACCTCGCATAGGCGGATACCATCGGTGAGGTGGAAACTGAGTCATGGCAGTATTGTTGGCTCTTTCATTCATTGTAGTATGAACCTCTTTCCACAGCAAAGCCTCCTCGAAAGCTTGGTGAATAACAATACTCAAAGCCATCTGTTTTTGAGCGTAAAGAATGGAGTTCCTATTCTTCCAAACATTCCACATGATCCAAGGTATAGATATTCTTATCTTCTCACTGAGCCCTGAATCATCCATTAAGTCCAATATATAGGCTAGATTATCCTCGAAAATCATAGAAAAACCAGCAACTGGACTTGGAATTTCTGCAATGTTCCATAGTTGTTGAGCAACACTACATTCAAAGAGAACATGATTGATGGTTTCAGTTGAGTGTTGACAAAGTTTGCAGACAGTTCCATTAGCTATTCCTCGGGTACGAAGTCTATCAGAAACCGCAAGAGCTCCAGCAATTTCCCTCCACACAAAAACCCGGATCTTTGGTTGTGTTTTAAGCTGCCAAGCTCTCTGTTTGAGTTCTATTTGTCTAAGTTCCAATGGTCCCTTTGGCGGGGAAGGTAAAAGAGGGTGATAACCAATACCCACTTTTGACCGAGTACGCTCCGTGATTGTTATAAGCCCAGATATATCGATCAACACCCCGACCAATCAGCATTGCAAGAATCCTTGATACATCATCCGGTGGGAACAGCCCATTTAACAAGTCTAGTCTCCACTTTCCATCCGGAGAAATCAGAGATGAAACGTGTAATTCCAAGTCGATTAAACTCTGCTTATTAACCGGTCTTCTCAGATGGTTCTCCATTATCCATTTATCGGACCACACCTTCGTTCTCATACCATCACCTACGGAAAGGATTAGACCCCGTCTCAGAAGTTCTCAACCATGCAGAAAAGGAAGACATAAGTTTAGTACAGGAGAGATTGTAATACATGAAACCAAATCTTCAACGAGTTCATGAATCTTGAAACTTGATAATTTTACTTAACTAAACATTGAACCAAACAAAACTCCAAACAAATTCCTCTATATTGATCAGAAAACGTATCGAACCCTAATCTACACTTGCGCGAAACAAGCCCAAGCGTTATTTGATCAGCTAGGTTCATAAAACACTAGCTGATCAAATAACGAGACCAAATGCAAGCCTATAAGTATCCACCATTCATAGACCTTAAACCCAAGACTCAAGAAGAAATGCCAAAAACCCCAAAAATGTAGTGAAAGAGGGACTGAGTAAGCAACACTAATCAGTTTCAAATAACATTCTTCAACCAATCCACTAATTCATAGACATCAAGCTCAAGAGATTTAACGCGAAATGGCAAATTTAAAAGTGAACAAGAGATTGAGTAGGCAAAAACCTTCATCGATTGCATAAACTCTCGGCAATGACTGTTGACGAACTCTTTCTTAGGCCCAGAAGGGCTCGCGAGTTCTTCCATCACTCCACCTGCTAATTCCAAAACCCTAACTACTCGCTGCGCCCAGAAAACAAAAAAACGCATACAGATTCACATCAAATAACTCCATCATCGAATCTACGGAGAAAAAAAAAGCGAATCTTCTGCAAGTCTTACCCTCTCGACATTCTGGAGTCGCTGCAACGAAGTATTCTGCGTCTGCGGATCCATCAGACGATTTCTCTAAAGCACAAAGAGTAAACGAAACTGAGTTACATCACAATATCGTCAAATCCACTCAATTACATACACTAAATAGGCAAATCGGAGAACCTGAATCGCGCACGGCGAATTTGACGGCGAGAGGGAGATCGGCGACGGAGAAGTGGATCGACGAGACTGGAGAAAAGCAAAGAAAATAAGAGAATTTAATTGAAGTAAAACGGCACGAATGTTACTTCAAGAGTCCTGGAACAGCGCGAAGTTAGCTGGTTGAATTACGAAAACACCCCTTCGTTCAGATAAAATCTTTGTGATTCTCTTTTGTAACGGATAAAATAACGGAAATAAATACCAAAACAAGAAAGAGCTGTGATAACTCTTTCGTAGCTTCTTCTTCCTCTGTAACTACCAATGGCTAACTTCATAGACCTAAACACTCTCACAAACACCTTACCGGCGGTTCCGAAACTACCCGGGAGTCGAAAAACCGAAAAATCAAGCTCCTTTGCTCTCAAGAAAACCGGAGAATTTCAAGAACCGGATTCGGTACAGATCACAAGACGGATGACATTGATAATGCATTTTAAAACTATTATCCAAAATATTAGTAAAAAGCTAGGAGATAGATATCTCTTAACGGGCCAGACAGAAACCCGTTATTTGAACATCTCGTTTCTTGAGACTTTGAAGATGAGGTGAAATAAAGATAATTGAGAAGATTTAAAATACATAACCTTTTTCTGGGTATTTGCGTACAGTTTTCATTACAATTCTGGTATATTTGGGTGTTGACTTTGGTTTTGGGGGATCTAGATTTTTTTTTTTAACTTCATTATCTAATTTTTGGTTTTTATAATTTTTACATGGTGATCACTGTTTACAGTGGGCCCAGCCTAAATCCCTTAACGGGCCAGACAGAAACCCCAATTCATACAAGTAAATGGGCCGGCCCATTTCCATTACAAAACCCAAAACAGAAACCCTAATTCTATAATGTAGGAACCATCTAACCACCAGAGATTTACGGCCACCGGTGTGGAGATGAGACTACTCCTGGCCGGTTCTGACGGCATAGACGCCGGAAGCACCGAAATCGTACTCACCATGCCGAGTGAGGCGGGCCAACGATCCAACAACCTGAAGAGAGGTTACCGGTTGAACTCGGCAGTACGGCTAGATCCGCCTTCTCCAAGGGGATCCGCCACATGGGGGAGAACACTCGCTCAAGAACCGCTCATCACCAGACCACACCGAGCCTTTAGACCCACAACCGGAACAAAGAGAGCCCAGATCCAGCATGCAACTCCAACGGAAATAGAACAGGCCGCATGAATCGGGATGTGGTCTTATCTAATCCATTTTGTGACTTTCCAAGGCTTTAAAGATAGTCTTCTTCGTTTCCTGCTCCACTGTGTCAAGGCGTTGACTCACATTAGCCAATACTTCATCACGATTAGACAATCCGGAAAATATCTCCCCTGCCCAAATTTGGGATCTGAGATTGATGAACTTTTTACGTTCTTTATAAAGCGTATAGAGGACGGAGCTAAACTCCTCATCTCCCATTAGCTTGTCAAATAGACGTTCTACGACTTCTCTGCTACATTGACGTTCTTCGACTTTTCTGGTACTATTATTCCCTCCTTCAACCGCGCACACCTTCTTGCCACCATCACCAGAATCACTCATTATGTTTGTTTTTATTTTTGGTTTAAGATCTCTTTGCTTCTTTAACGCGTCGTCAATCACTCCATTCTTAAAAAAAAGAAGGTGATTGTGACTTTTAGATCACCTCCAATGCAAAGATACTCATTAATCATCTCATTAATTAAATATTAATATTATTACTGTTACAAAATTGTGCCTGAGATATTTATTAGAGTATCTCATTAATATAATATTAATATTTTATAATATACAATTTAAATCTCATAATTTTTAATCAAAATAAATTATGTAATCTTTTAAATCTCATATTTTTTTATATATTTAATACTATCGTATTAGTTAAAAAAATATTAACTTGATATTATTATGCTAACTTAATAATATGAAACAAAATTAGTTTCAATATTATAATTTTAACATATATATAATCGAGGTTAAAAGATGCAGAATTTTATTTTATGATTTAT